CCTTTCTCATCTTCCTCAAGTAGTATTAACTGAAGCAAGTGGCATTAAGGCTTCAATGGGTAAGCCCTGGAGATACCATGTTATGCACATAACAACATAGTTTCCCGAGAGCTTGATCATTGAATCCTATTTCTCTTCATGTGGGAAGAATGTAACATTATCCTGGATTTTAATACCTGAAATATGTAAAATTTTGAAAAATTACAGTAACAGAACTCACTGGTACATTCAATTATAAATATTTTAACATCATTAGCTTTCAATAACTTACCTGCTACAAATTCAACCATAAAAACTAATATTCTGCTGTTAGTTTTGGTTGCTTAACATGTTAAAATTTGTAACTTGGAATGAAATGCATTAATGACTTATGAAGCATATAAATCAAAGAACATTTAACATTCAAGTTTGGGGGATGGACACTGCAAATTACTTCAGTACTATATTGATGCAACTAGCTGACGCACATAAAGCTATACCATCCACAGTTACTATGTAATCAACAACTGTAGCCAGCCATACTTCTTTATGTTATTTTCTATTAGTACTAAAGAGGAAGAATATGGTTACATGCCTAAAATTATTTGATATGATTCATTACTTCTTCCCAAGTTATTCTCAAGAAAGAATCTGCAGATTACTTTCCATAGGTATTCATAACCACCGATATAAGTGTAGTTTTAAACAACAATTTGCAGCTTTTATGCATTATGATGAAATCCATAAACTGCAAAATCACTTAAATGTTTTATTATGAATTGTCACTGCTGCCCGATGTAAAACATAAACTTCTAAAAGGTCATAAACAGAAGATCCTTTTTAACATGAGTATAAACATAAAGAATGAAAGAAATAAAATTTAAAATTACATAAATAATATAAAAATACTGTGAAATATAATCTAATTTTATACATTTCACAGTAGCAGAAAAAAAAAGGGCAATAGCACAATTTCCGATTTAATTAATTATTTCACCCGAAGTTTAGAAAAACTGCATAAAATTACCAAAGTTTAAAAGTCTCACATAATGATTCACAGTAGACCTTATCTGCTGTTAGTAAACGCCGTAAATTTCTTAAAAATCTGCGAAGTAGATATTTTAAAAAAATCTGATGGCAATCTTATAGAAATTATCATTAAGAAGCACTCTTAAAATGTACATCAGTTATAATGTTCTAATTACATTGCATTTGTTAGCTTCTATCACAAAGTTTTATTGAGATATTGTGCAGCATGGTAGATACTAGCTGTTGAGGTTTCTCTGCCTTTTGGTAGACTAATTTCCCACCAAAGCTGAAGACTTAATGATTGCGAAACCATAATTCTTAATTCAACTTTGCTGTGCATTAATAATAATTATCTTATTGTCAAAGTTATAAAATCTACATACTATTTTCATAACAATATTTCATTTCCTTGTAAATATTATACATTTAGTGTAATAAGTACATAAAGGTGGCTCCATATACTGGATCAGAATTTTACAATTTTTTTCTTTTGACAATTATCTCAACTTCTTTCTCAGTCTCTTAATAGTCAAATCTTTCGCACTTCATTAAATTTCTGAAGTTAGTTATTTTAAAGGTATGTAAGTGATAAACAGCATTTATTTAATCTACAATGCACTTTTCACAGCATAAACTTATGTACCAGGTGATTAATTTCAGAACTCAACTGTTATATAGCTAGAAAGGGATACCTTCCTGGACATGTTTTTGGACTTGCAACTTTTCCTTTGAAGAGATGGAACAGAAATTAAACAAGATTTCCCCCTCAAATCTTGTCCATACATCCACTCCCACAATGCCACTTTACAGCTGGTTGAGAAATGCAGGCAAATTACTACTACACATATTACATGAGCAGGCTGAACATAAACACTATCTGCATCCTGATTTGAAAAGGTTTAGACCAAAATGTACTCTTCATCATTCCTAAAATAACCTAACATTTAAGTTACAAGAACAAAAAGATAAACTATTTTCTGCAAAGCATTTATAATATGAATAACTGCATTGCATCTTTATTGATATTCCCTTTGCTTACAAAATGTGCAAACATTTTAACAGAGAAATTCAATTTACCAGTTTGGGAATGACATATGTACCTCCAGTAACAGCAGAAAATAATTAAATAACATATCAGATATCTGCACCTCTTTTCCCTCCTCTCGACAATTTAATTACCTCAAGTGTTTTTACTTTTCCAGTCACTCAATAGTCATTTTTTTAAACTTTATTAACTTTCTCAAAGATGTTTATGAAGTTGTGATTACTTTTAAAGGTACCTATGCGATTTCAACAAATAATGAATTAAATAATAAGGTTAAATACTAATTGAAAAGAAAATTTTAAAAAAGTACTCATTCAAATAAAAAAAAAAGACAAAAATCTGAAGCCTTAATTCTCAAAAAGGTTTAACAAATGATTTTCAACTTGTTTTGTTAACAAACTGTATATTTATTTATTCTTTCATTATTTACTTTCTTTTTCAAAGAATAACTAAACACATGTACATTGTGAGGCTAAAAAATCTCAGAAACTCTGTTCTTAACCATAAAATTCCAGTTTTTAGGATATTAAACTGTAAGCTTTTGAGTAATTAAGCTACATTCACACTGCCCAGCAATGCAAGAAGCATATGTCAATTCCCACCAGAGCTATGCTTTAAATGCTGCCATATGCATATATTAGATGGCTCTTCATACTGGATGTGTTATTTGGGTTTCCTGCATTAAAATTATATAGATCCAACTTCTGCTAGATAAAATTTTATACTTGTACATACAAGGAGAAGCAAAAGGTGGTAGGTTTTAAACCAATATACGAGAGCAGGGAATAATTTAATTAAGGATATGCACTTGAACAAAAATGAAAGCTTTTGAATTATTTTCACACGATACCTAATCCATTCAATAGGATGAGTTACGTAAGTTTTTAGATCTGCTCATAAAAGACCTGTGCTAAAACAACAATAGCTAAATTTGTATAAGTACTTATTTTAGTTTGTTTTCATAAACTTCCATTCACTAAGAAGATAAGCACATAATTAAAGAAATTAAGAAAGGAAAATACCGTAAATTATAAATATATATAGATATAAATCAACAAATATCATGATTGGATGAGGGTTACACTGGAAGTTGATGAATATAACACAACCATTTATCCAAAAGCTGAGCAATAGGTTTTGTCAGAATGTTCCAGAAAAGGATCACAGTACATACCAAATTTATTTTATTCATGAATTTTGTTTTAACTGAAAATTCTTAATTACACATTTCTATTTAAGAGAGAGTTAATGGGGCTGAACAATAAAATTTTCTGCATGATGTATGTAACTCAATAAAATTAGTTTTAATTAATATTATAAAAAATACTTTGCTATAAATGTGAGTGGGATAATAGGGTTACCAAATATCACACCTAAAAAAGGAAACAATTTTTAAAAAGTTTAATAAAAAAGAAAAATTTATCACAATTATGTTTTCACTGCCTTAAGTAAATACTTTTTACCCTTAAATGTAACTAATTACTTCAATTTAACATTCATATGTTAATGAAGAGTCACTGACTGTCTAAAGTTTTATTAACATTACTTTTATCTAAAACTCACTGTAGTAACTGCATTTTATATATTTCTTATTCTGTTTTGAAAACTGAATTCCACAACTAATAAATTTGCTAGTACTGCTTATGAAAAATTATCAAGATAAAACCATTAGTTTGATTCTTATAAAATTTGTTGAAAACTGGTTGTATTTTGAGGAAAACAAACATGAAGCCATTAAAATGCATACAAGTATTCCATAAAATAAGCATGAATTTTGCCTTAATTTAAATGTCTGGTAAAGCTTCCCTTTTGTATAAATAAGTTTTCCTACAATTTAAAAAAAAAAAAAAAAAAAGTCTCACCAATTATTTAAGCATGTCCTAAATTTTAGATAAAATATCATTATACCAATATTAGTTCTGCTATACTGGAGTCATCCAAAATGGCTTTTATACAGATTTTCTAGTTAACTCTTTGAAGACCAAAATGCCAAAGAGAGCCTTTCATTCATATGACCACAACCAGTCAAAGCGGCCCAGATTATGTTATTTTTCTTCTTTACCCCCTAAAGTATGCAATAGCAGATACAGTTTCCCCATGTGCATTACATCAGTTTATTGCAGACAGTTTGTCCTAAAAGGATTTACTTGTGGTTTCTTATTTTTATTTGTTAGGAAGCAGAAAATGATGTCATTTGAAATCTTCACACCTCTTTATGCATTAATAGAAATTGCTGTAAATCTCGAAAGCCATTTCGGGCAGTTTGGTATTTTAAGCATACAGGTTAGTGAAGGCTTCGGATTTCTAAGAGTCTAAGAAGGATAATGCACAAACTACTGCTTGGAAGGCCAAAATCAAGCCTGCAGCCATTGAAATACAAATGCGAAGTTCTTATGAAAAAATAAAAGTCACAGCAGATAAAAATTTGGTAAAATCTTACTGTTATAAAAGAAGGCAAAAAACCAAAGCACAAATTTGCCATCTCTAGTATCAACTGAATTTTCTTCTCGGCACATTATGCTAGCAAGACTGATATTCCTGTTTAACAAAATAAAAAAGTATCTGTGCTGTTTTGAAGCTAGTGATAGATTTTCCTGTATATAATTTTTTAAAAATACAAACTACACTACAGCACCACCCCTGAAGGGAACTGAATCCAGAGTCTTTGACAGTGAAGCAATGCCTTATTCATTGAGCAACAGGAGCCCATAAAAGAAACCTTAAAACTGGTGTAGATTTCAATTCAAATTAAAACTTAAAAGTCTTGCTAGCATAATGTGCCGACAAGTTTTTGAAATCTATTATTTTTTCACAGCAATCTATTACTTTTCATTATTGTGTAGAAATTATCAACCACATCTCATTAATAGTTGATAATTATTATTTAATACTCTTATTTAGTACTATAAATCTTTAAGCTGTAATAAATTGTGAAAACTCAAGTGTATTTTTCTTTCAGCACTCTTAACAGTTCTCACATTCCTCAACATGAATCAACTTGCACCGTGTATCATTTCTTCAATCGCCATTATATTTTCCTATCAGATGAGCACAGAATTTGTGAATATATATGCCAAAGAACTAGTGATATGTTCAAAAATTTTACTCACAGTGGAAATAGCAAGCTACTACTTAACACAGCTTCTACTAGGAATTGCATTTTCAGCTACCAGCACAAGCGGTTTCCTTCCACTTGAAATGGTGCTCATTATTTTCTTCATTCCAACATGGGCATGTCAGCTCCCAATTCCATTACCTGTAACCAAACTGACTCCACTCCTCACAGCTGTTACATGTGCACTTTTATCAGGCTACAGAACATGGGAAAACCATAATGTTTATGAAACTCCACATAAGAAAATTGTCTGGTACTACAATGTGATATACAATTATTGTTTATATACAGTGATAGAAAACATAAAGATCAAGCTTCATATCCCACACATATTTCAAGGGTTTTGGATCATTGATTTCTTCATGTACTTACTCCAATGTCAGTATTCATGCAACTCTTCATCACTATCATTGCATGAAATTCTACAAGGATATATAACACACCGAAGTGGAAGTATAATAGCACTGCTAGGAATGGCATGTGCCATAGGCCTGTTATGCCAATTAGTTGGATATAGCATGCAAGCTTTTCTTCAGATCAAAAATCCATCGGAAAAAAATATAGGCAACATTTCAGTTTCTTTATTTTTAATTCTCTCTCTGCAAAGTGGAATAACAGGTTTGGAACCAGAAAAGCGATTTTATAAATTTATTCATATTTTACTGCTACTGTGCACAGTGCTTTTACATTTTATTCACAATATGCTTCAAATGCAGGTACTTTCATTAAACATATCAAGATCTACTTCATTCAATAAGCATGCAAGATCTTTTATAACTGGCATTATTCTTATTACAATACCAATTATAATCCTTGTTCACCAATGGAAATCTAAAGATAAAAGCACATGGCTGCTAACTATCACTTGTCTTATGATTGAACTACTTATTAAAACAATGGTCTCTGTGGTAATTTACATCCTTTATGTAATAGATGTGTATAAAAATGGCTTGTGGGAAAATCTAGATAATTATATTTATTACTTAGAAGTAGCAGCAAGTTTTACTGAATTTGTTGTTGGAATTAACCTTATGTTTAATGGTTTAAGGATATTTATTTTTGAGTCAAGTAATATCTTACGAGCTTGCATGCTGGGTCTGCATGTGTATTTCAATATATGGGTGCAAATTACAAAAATATGGGAATCTCACTTACTGTGCCAATCAGCAAAACAAGACTTGTCATTTTTACAAGATGCAACAAAAGAACAATTGAAAAACAAGAAAGACATTTGTCCAATATGCTTTCAAGAACTAATTACTGCAAAGGTTACAACTTGCAACCATTTTTTCCATAAAGTATGCCTACGTAAGTGGTTAAAAGAGCAAAATACATGTCCACTTTGCTACACTGTTCTCTATCGAAACAGTATTCAGCCATGACTATATACAAGTGTTTTAAAACAGATTTGGGGTTGGTTAAAGTGAAGATCAATGATTCAATTAAATAAATATTACCATGTTTTCAAAGTCAGGGAATTGAAACTTATCAGAGATTTGTATGCAAATAAAACAACAAAATCCGTGATCAGCAAGAGTTGATAGCATTTCAGAAAAAGCATATGTGAAATATTTACACCTATAATGGTAAAAGAGGAATTAGGGAGGTTTGAAGACCAGATATACCAGCTATAGTTTCACATACCACTGAAACTACAGGTAATCAGCTAACTCACCTTAGTGCTCAGAACTGATCATCAAGAAACTGTGGATTTATTTACCTTCAAAATAAGCCACAAAACTCTTAACACAACCGTGTTACAACCTACTATACAAGAGGAACTGGAACATATGTTTGACAGCGTCCATACTAATGATTGTTCTTCACAAAACCTAGTGCCATTTTTCACAGCAATAGTGAACTTGGACTTCAAACCGAGTAACCTTCTGTAATGAACAATGGTATTTCAATGAAACAGATGGACAACGATATACAAAATAGCTATTCACTCTGTAGACCTGAAGCTTTCAAGAATGAATACTCTGACACAGATGTGAGATGCAGGCAGGTACAATCTGGGAATATCTTCACTAATTTTTCTCCCGGTTTCTGAAGTCAACATACAAATGCAAACAGTCATTTCTCAACGTCTGCAGGTCCAATACATAATTACCATGCTATCAGAAGGCAGTGGCATGAGAGTGTGACATATGATGCCAGAATTACCCACAAAAGGTTTGAAAAACACAAGAAAGACTAAAGTAGTTTCACTTGACCATGACCGTATTTCCTGGACCTGATCTAACAAATGTGACTCAACAAACAAGAAAGATCATCTACTTCAGATCTATTGCCTCTGTAGATTATACTGCAATCTCCCATTGACTTTTCATACAGAGTGGCTGCAATACTTATCACTATATTACTGATATGAAGCAGGTGCTGAAAATAATGTGACTTTTTCTGAAGCCCCAGATATCAAATTATGCTACATACATGTAAATATTGCATAGCACAGTGATCAAAGCATGCTGTATGAAATCACATGTTATTTCTAGTCTAAAACGTACTTTACAAAAGTTACTCTTCACACAAGACTAAACAACATATGCAAAAATTTTAAACTAAATACCAGTTGAAATGACTTGGACAGAGCAAATACCAACATGAAGGAATTTGTTATTCCCTTTATATTTGCAATATATATATAAATGCAGCCCTGGAAGAAATTAAACAAACTGAAAACATTAACATGTTACCATACCATAAGCTTTAATAAAAAGTTTTAATATTATTTATTTACTAGATTATGCTCTATGGCTTTTACAGTCAAAACAGTTGTGTAACGCAATATACACATTTTTCCTCACTAAACCGGAAAAGTGAACTGTCTAATGAATACCAACCAACCATGATTTGTTTAGATTTTAATTATAATTATTAGGAAAATGAAACCTTTATGATGCACAGCAACAGAAATTGTATTTTAAGTCTTTACTAAAAATATCTAATATTCAAATATTTCAAAAATATTATGTTGCATGCATACAAAAGGTAATCTGTGAATTCATTGAAATATATTTAACTACTTTTGTTTTATTACTGAAGACATAAAAAAATATGTGTGGCAAAGCTTAGTGAAGATCCACATGACAAAATTGCTTTCCCCATGAATACCTAGATGGCAGGCAGAAATATAATGCATTCTTAAAGCCCACTTCTATTCTATACAATGCACAGATGGTTAATTGTTTACTAAAAAATATTAATAAAATTCAAAAATGAAGAGCAACTTAAAATTTAGCAATTCTGTTAACAATTTCCATATTAAACACTGGATGCATATTAATTCAGCTAACTATTTGGACTGCATATTGTACATTAACACACATAACTGTTTCCTTATCCACAAATTTTCAATTTATTTAGGTTCTTGTTGAAATTCAATTTTAATTTCCTTGACCAATTATAATGAACTAATAAAATTAAGAGCAAGTAATAATTTTATGTACTTACTAAAAACCTAATGAAAGTAAATACATTATACAAATTTGATTTATGTCATTCATCATGAAGGAAATGAAAGAAAGAATATATGAAAGTCACTGTTTTAAAAAAAGTAGGTATGGTTTTTATAAAGAAACATATATGAAAGATTTTTATAACAGATAATTCTATAAATTTTATTTTTATAGTACTTCAAAATGAAACTGAGGACCTTACATTTAATCTGCAGTGGAAGACATGTTTAGTATATTTTATTACAAAAACCAGTAACTCAAAAGTTGTAACTTCTAAAGACAAACGGTACTGCTCTGTTATCAGGACAGGACTCAGAAATGTATGTATGCATATATGTATGAACATATACACATATAATACAAGAGCACGCATACATACATTTCTGAATCTGGTCCCAATAATACAACAGTACCAACAGAACAATTACATTTCAAAATGTAACGATCAATAACAGCAGAATAACAAATGGAAAAGATTAATAGATAAAATTACATTAGATATGAAGTTTGAGAAATGAGTGGGTTCAGGGAGGGGGCAGACTTAAAAGATTACAATAAGATTTACATCCACCCAAAGAAATTTAATAGCAACTATATGAAACAAACTTTTCATTATTTTAGAAAATTTATCGGCAGCCTTTTCCTTTGCTGAAAAGACATGTTTTCCCTGATTTTACAGATGAGTAAGAACTCTGCTCATGGCTTATTTCATATTTGTTAGATTAGAACCATTTTTTAGCAACCATTTGGAGGGGAGGGACTATTCTAACTATCTGCATACAGAGAAGACATTCAGAACATAAAATTGTAATAGTTAAGAAGTACTAAAAAAAAAAAAAAAAAAAAAAAAAAATTGTTATTTTTTAAAGTTATGCAAAAACAAAATCTGGAGTTTCATATGGATAAAATGAAATCATTAGAGGTTAAATTCCTCAAGGAAAGTGATTTTAATTATAATACACAATAATGTATCTCCACTTTACTACAGATTTAAAGCAAACTGAATAAACATCACAGATCTAAGAAATGAAAGGATTTAACTGTACTGCAAACTTACATACTTTAGCAAGCATCATCAATCACCAACACATAACAGCTGCTTTCTAGGCGCAGATCAAAGATTCACTTTGCTGCTGCATAAGACTCCAATGGGTAAGCTCTGGAGAAAAAATGTTTAACAAATTTACAACATAATTTCCCTAGAGCTTGTACATTGAACCCCATTTCACTATAATGTATCCATTCCTAGAATAACATATGACATGTTTTTAAACATCTAACAAGAAACAAAAATAATTATGACAATAAAATAAAAATATATAATTATGTTTGTAATCAAGGATTTCAGCAAATTCCAATAAATAAATTTATTTTGTTTTAAATACCATAAAGCTCTGAAAAAATAGGTGACAGGCTGTTTCTTTGGAAAGCATATTCAATTGCATTCAAGTTGACATCATTTTTTACTTTTATTTAATTACTTTCTTTCATAAAACATCATATTGATTATAAGGGCAATTACAAGTGCATTAAGGTTAATATTCATTTTATGTTTAAGATACCTTTTTAATTATCTAAAAGCCTGAAACTCTAGAAATTCACTGATGTGTATTTTTCTAATTTCAAATCAGATATTGTAATATGAACTAAATATTTTTCCTTTGCTACTTTTGCTTTACTTACTTATTTACTCTTATAAAATTGCATTAATAGCTAGTGATGATATAACAGAAATTTTAGTTCTCTTTCATTCACTATAATTTTACTGCAGCCATTTTTTCAGGGATAATACGTCTCAATGAAAATATACCAATGGGCCAAGGAAAGGTATGCTTAAATTACACTTTTCGATAATACACAAATAATACTATGCAGCTAATAATAAAGTGAAAAGCCTGCAACAAATGTATACCATTATTCCAGGTATACATTCACATGTAAGGATAGCGAATTTGATAAATTAAACACAGTAAGGCATTATTATTATTAAATAACATAGCATACTGCACATCATTCGGCATACCTAAATGCACACTTTTCTTCCTTTTGCCTTTAAATGTATAAAAGTAAATGACAGTCAAGTTTTAATCTAATACTCAGAAGGTAATGGATGCTGTACTGTTTAGCAGTATGCACAACTTAATTAGCACACACTATGTACATGCATTTATTTCTTTTAAAAAATATTTGGGGGGTGGTTTCTACAGTAAACAACATGTATTGAAAAAATGCCCACAAGGGCTCAGCTACATTTACATACACACCATATTACTTATTTACAAGAAAGTATATTATTAGATGCCTATAGGGAGAGACGGCATTGTGGAAGACCTTCTATGGGAATCTGGTCCATAATTAAACACTTAAAAACTAAAAAAAACCTCATACAGTCAGCCCTATGCACTTGGTCATGGATTAGATATACAGGCAGATGCATTATTATAGATAACTTTACAATAAAAAAAATTACTGAGCAAATGAACATTTTATTTATGGTAGTAGAAATATACAAGCCATTTTGATGAAGTTTCATTTAATTTAATTATAAAATTCTAGACAAACTGTGAGTAATATGTTCATTACTTTTATTAAGCAGCTTTATACTTCCAGAAAAATATAAATTTTATTTCCTCTTACACGTTGGGTTTTTGTGAGCAAGCAATAAAATTTCTGTATGAAAAATTTATAAACTAATTAAATTTAAAATAAGCAATAATTAAAATTTTAATTACTATTTATTTTTAAATGCAATTTTTTTAAGTATGACACAAAAATCTAAGAATCCCCAGGAGAGGAATTAATAAAAAAAAAATATCACGTATATGAATTCTCATTTTACTAGAAAAAATAAGATACAGTGAAATAACTACGAAAAAGTTAAATTTTACATTAAATGCATGTTGAAACCTGCCTTACTTACCTCACTGTTTAAAAATTTCATTCCTGTTTCGATATCAAATGTAGGACAGCAGGGAAGGGGAACTTTCCCATACACAGAAATTTTCCTCTCAGCAACGTATATGAGAGACCGATGTATAAGCCCTTGAGACAGAATGTTCGTCAATTTAACAACATTGTTTCCCAAGAGCTTATACACAGATTCCCAGGTCACGAATCATCAATGATGTTCAGAATAGCACAAAAAAGGGACCCAAAAAATACAAAATAAACCGCTTCTTTGACATTCTCTGTTCTCGGCAAATGAAATGTCAAACTAAGTAAACTGTTTCAGGATCTGGTAGCATAGATATGAAACAAATGAAATGATAAATTCAAATTCTTCTCATGCCTGGTTTCTCATTTAAAATGTTCTAATTTCAGCTGTTATAAACCTCAAATATTACCAAGATAATATTACAGGACAACAAACATTATTAAAATGATACTACAGAAAATGTATTATTTCATTTTAATGACTACCAACTAAAAATGAAAAAGGTAAGAAATATCTTTCACAGTGCAACTGATGTGGCATCCCTAATTTAGGACATCAAAATCCTAAAAATTAAACAGCTGCAGAAATAAAAGTACCTGGTCTAATGTGATCTAACCTAACAATACACTGATGATTGTATTCATGCAGTAATTTTCCAATACAAGTATCTTACCCAGTTTAAGCTACAATCAACTCATCAAATTATACTCTTGATTTTTATTGTGCTCATACCGTATAGGCTGAGAACATACAATAAAATATAGTATCACATACACACAAAAGAGCTCTTTTCCGTTAAGTGTATAAGTCTCGCAAATTGAAAGACATTTATTTGCAAGAAAGATAATTAAATGCACCGATTGTCACACTTCAAGCTTAAACTATGTAAATATGAATATTTGTTATTACCCAAAACCAGATGCTACAGTTGTGCCAGAAATACTTATAACCTGCTTGTCAATAAATGTCTGCATCGATCCTGCAACGTATATGCACATTCTTTGCCTTCAGTACATACAAAAAAAGGGGGAAGAGAATCACATTTTCTTGTATTTGGGCTCTTATGGATGAGATACTGACGAACAGACCAAGAGTTGAAAACCCAGCATTGCAAGTGCTCCTTACTGATGAACTTTTTGCCCCTCCCCTCTTCTTAGTTTCAAGCTACATAGCAGCTTACAGCTCAATAATACCTACAAACAAAGCTCATACACAAAGCTAACAGCTCAGTAATTCCCGCAAATAAGAGTAAGTTTGACGGCGATCTGGTTGATAACAAAAATCTACCAGACTGCAATCAAAATTATTATGCAGTTACCAAATTCTGAGATCATCATTTAAGTTACCTTAGGTAATTGAAGATTTAAAAAATAATGCACTTGAATTTGTTAAAATACTATATGGCTATAACCTCAAATCTACTGCACCTTCTTAAATACTAATTAATTTTACACACTTCTGGAAGTAGCTAAATTGAAAAGGGAGGTAAATGATAACAAAGCAATCCTCTTTAAATACAAGCTTTACTGAGTTATAATACCATTAATTTAAAGAATCAGCCTCCTATTCAAATAGGATTTTTAATTTTCATTCATTACAATAAAGATGTTAATAATATTAATACGAAAGCGGAGTTTCTCTGACAAACTGAAGAACAGAACAAAATATTTATCAGGGTATGTTACTTCAAAAACTAAAACTACTATAATACAAAATGCAATATTTTATGACAAAAAGAGAAAAGATGCAAGTAGAGCTTCATGAAATTTAAGCATCTGAGGTCAATAACAAAATTCTAATTAATAACGCAATACTAAAGGGCCCAAGTTTGAATCCTGGATAAGCCAAGGTTTTATGTGTCCATCCCTTCATAGGAGGCCTCCATAATAAAGTGACCGCCACTTCTAGCCTTACTAGTGGCCAAGCCATAGTTGGCTTTGGGACCACCATTGGGAAAGGGGGGGGATTTTCCCCTAAAACTGCTAGTGATTATTTCTCACTTCATTTTTATAAGTTCATTTCAAGTTTCTCTG